ACTCGGGGGCCATAGACTTCAATGTGAACCCTCTGAATGAATGAAAGTCGCAATTGAATGATATACGTGCGACTTGTGTGCGACTTTGTACAGCACAAACAATCGTCCTTAGTCAAAGCCAAAGTCGCACTCATCCAAAGTTGCATCAAGTCGCACTGTAAAGTCGCAATGAAAAAAAAAAAAATCGCAGGATTTTGAAGTGGCACAAGTGTGAATGGAGCCCTAAAGTCCCGTTCTGTGGGGAGAGCAATGATTCGCCTCACCTGAGCAGAGAAGCCGCAGAAGAATCCGTACCAGAAGTGGACCAGGGTGAAGGTGAAGTTCTTGTAGAAGAAGTATCGCAGGAACTGGCACATGCGGTTGTAGGACCAGCGGCCGTGGACCAGGAGGAGGCGCTGCAGGTACCGAAACTGGGCAAAAGAGAAGTCGCTGGACAGCACAGCCTGCATACCTTCCTGCCCGCTGATCCCCACCCCGATGTGAGCGGCTGTGGAGGAAAGAGCAGGTAAGTACAACTCTGCAAATATGGAACCACCTGAGCTGACTGTTCTCTGAGGACTACAGAACCACATCCCCCCTGTGTCATGGAGGAGAGGAGGCATTTCCCCGCACTTCCTGTTCTGTCTGATGCCCATCCAATAGACAGCAAGTAGGGAGATTTTCCATCACTTCTTGTTTTGCTTGATGCCCATCCAATAGAAAGAAAGTAGGAAGATTTCCCTTCACTTCCTGTTCTGTCTGATGCCCAAATAGACAGCAAGTAGGGAGATTTTCCCTCACTTCCTGTTCTCTCTGATGCCCAAATAGACAGCAAGTAGGGAGATTTTCCCTCACTTCCTGTTCTGTCTGATGCCCAAATAGACAGCAAGTAGGGAGATTTTCCCTCACTTCCTGTTCTGTCTGATGCCATCCAATAGACAGCAAGTAGGGAGATTTTCCCTCACTTCCTGTTCTGTCTGATGCCATCCAATAGACAGCAAGTAGGGAGATTTTCCCTCACTTCCTGTTCTGTCTGATGCCCAAATAGACAGCAAGTAGGGAGATTTTCTCTCACTTCCTGTTCTGTCTGATGCCATCCAATAGACAGCGAGTAGGGAGATTTTCCCTCACTTCCTGTTCTGTTTGGTGCCCATCCAATAGACAGCAAGTAGGTAGATTTTCCCTCACTTCCTGTTCTGTCTGATGCCCATCCAATAGACAGCAAGTAGGGAAATTTTCCCTCACTTCCTGTTCTGTCTGATGCCCATCCAATAGACAGCAAGTAGGGAGATTTTTCTCTCACTTCCTGTTCTGTCTGATGCCATCCAATAGACAGCAAGTAGGGAGATTTTCCCTCACTTCCTGTTCTATCTGATGCCCATCCAATAGACAGCAAGTAGGGAGATTTTCCCTAACTTCCTGTTCTGTCTGGTGCCCACCCAATAGACAGCAAATAGGAAGATATTCCCTCACTTTCTGTTCTGTCTGATGCCCATCCAATAGACAGCAAGTAGGGAGATTTTCCCTCACTTCCTGTTCTGTCTGATGCCCATCCAATAGACAGCAAGTAGGGAGATTTTCCCTCACTTCCTGTTCTGTCTGATGCCCATCCAATAGACAACAAGTAGGGAGATTTTACCTCACTTCTTGTTCTGGCTGATGCCCATCAAATAGACAGGAAATGGAAAAAAAAAATTCCCTCACCTAATTACCTTTTTTTCTTTTGACACCCATCCAATATACAGGAATTAGGGAAATTTCCCTCACCTCCTTTGCTGTCTGATGTCCATCCAATAAACAGAAAGTAGGGAGATTTTCCCTCCCTTCTTATTTGGCCAGATGCAACTCCGATAGGCAAGAAGTGGGGAGATTTCCCCTCACTTCTTGTTTTGCTTGATGCCCATCCAATAGAAAGAAAGTAGGAAGATTTCCCCTCACTTTCTATTCTGTATGATGCCTGTGCAATGCACAGGAAGTGGGGAAATTTTCCCTGACTTCCTTTTCCTTCTGACCACCATCCAATGGACAAGAAGAATGGGAATTTTCCCCTCGCTTCCTGTTCTGTCTGATGCCTATCAATAATCAGGAAACAGGGAGATTTTCCCTCCCTTCCTGTTTTGCTTGATGCCCATCTAATACACAGCAAGTGGGAAGATTTCCCCTCACTTTCTGTTCTGTATGATACTTTGTCCAATGCACAGGAAGCAGGGAGATATTCCCTCACATCTTTTTACTTCTGACCACCATCCAATGGACAAGCAGTACGTGAATTTCCCCTCACTTCCTGTTCTGTCTGATGAAAAATAGACAGGAAGTGGAAAGAATTTCCCTTACCTCTTTTCCTTTTGACACCCGTCCAATATACATAAATGAGGGAAATTTTCCCTCTCTTCCTGTTCTGTCTGATGCCCATCAAACAGGAAACAGGGAGATTTTCCTTCCCTTCCTGTTTTGCTTGATGCCCAAAGTGGGGAACTTTCCCCTCACGTTCTGTTCTGTATGATACTTTGTCCAATGCACAGGAAGCAGGGAGATATTCCCTCACTTCCTTTTCCTTCTGACCACCATCCAATAAACAAGAAGAAATTTTCCCTCACTTTCTGTTCTGTCTGATGCCCATCCAGTAAACAGGTAGTATGGAGATTTTCCCTCTCTCCTTATTCTGTCACATACGTGTCCAACAGACAGCAAGTGGGGAGATTTCCCCTCACTTCCTGTTCTGTTTATTACCTGTCCAGTAGACAGGAAATGGAAAGAATTTCTCTCACCTCCTCACTTTTATTCCTTTTGACACCCATCCAATATACAGCAATGAAGGAAATTTTCCTTCTGTCTGATGTCCATCCAATAAACAGGAAGTAGTGAGATTTTCCCTCCTTTCTTATTTGGCCAGATGCATGTCCAATAGGCAGGAAGAGAAGAGATTTTCCCTCACTTCCTGTTTTGTATGATGCCCATCCAATGACAGAAAGTGGGAAGATCTCCCCTCGCTTCCTGTTCTGTATGATACCTGTCCAATGAACAGGAAGTGGGGAAATTTTCCTTCACTTCCTTTTCCCTCTGACCAGCATCCAATAGACAAGCAGTACGGGAATTTTCCCTCACTTCCTGTTCTGTCTGGTGCCCATCAAAATAGAGAGGAAATGAAAAGAATTTCCCTCACCTCCTCTCCTTTTGGCACCCATCCAATATACAGTGATTAGGGAAATTTCCCTCACTCCTTATTCTGCCAAAAACGTGTCCAATAGACAAGAAGTGGGAAAGTGGGAGATTTCCCCTCAAATAATTGCTCACTTTCTTTTACTTCTTATTAATATCCAATAGGGAAGAAGTATAGAAATGTTTCCTCACTTTCTGTCTGATGTAGGAAATAGGGAGATTTTCCCTCCTTTCTTATTTGGCCGGATGCATGTCCAATAGACAAGAATCAGAGAGATTTTCCCTCACATCCTGTTCTGATTCCCATCCAATAGACAGGAAGTCAGAAGAAATTTCTCATTTGGTGGCACAGTGTGACCAATAGAGATGAAGCGGGGAGATTCTCCCTCGCATCCTATTCCGATTCCCATCTAACAGACAGGGCGCGGGGAGATTTTCCCTCGCATCCCGTTCCGATTCCCATCCCTATCCAACAGACAGGGAGCGGGGAAATTTTCCCTCAGATCCCGTTCCGATTCCCATCCAACAGACAGGGAGCAGGGGAAATTTTCCCTCAGATCCCGTTCCGATTTCCATCCAACAGACAGGGAGCGGGGAGATTTTCCCTCAGATCCCGTTCCGATTTCCATCTAATAGACAGGGAGCAGGGGGAGATTTTCCCTTGCATCCCGTTCCGATTCCCATCCAACAGGCAGGGAGCGGGGAGATTTTCCGTCGCATCCTTTTCCGATTCCCATCTAATAGACAGGGAGCGGGGAGATTTTCTCTTGCATCCCGTTCCGATTCCCATCCAACAGACAGGGAGTGGGGAGATTTTCCTCGCATCCCGTTCCGATTCCCATCCAACAGACAGGGAGAGGGGAGATTTTCCCTCGTATCCCGTTCAGATTCCCATAAAACAGACAGGGAGCGGGGAAATTTTCCCTCAGATCCCGTTCCGATTCCCATCCAACAGACAGGGAGCAGGGAGATTTTCCCTCAGATCCCGTTCCGATTTCCATCCAACAGACAGGGAGCGGGGAGATTTTCCCTTGCATCCTTTTCCGATTCCCATCTAATAGACAGGGAGCGGGGGAGATTTTGCCTCGCATCCCGTTCCGATTCCCATCCAACAGACAGGGAGCGGGGAGATTTTCCCTCACATTCCGTTTCGATTCCCATCCAACAGACAGGGAGTGGGGAGATTTTGCCTCGCATCCCGTTCCGATTCCCATCCAACAGACAGGGAGCGGGGAGATTTTCCCCTCGCATCCCGTTCCGATCCCATCCAACAGACAGGGAGTTGGGAGATTTTCCCTCACATCCCGTTCCGATTCGCATTCAACAGACAGGAAGCGGGGAGATTTTCCATCGCATCCTGTTCCGATTCCCATCCAACAGACAGTGAGTTGGGAGATTTTCCCTCGCATCCCGTTCCGATTCCCATCCAACAGACAGGAAGCGGGGAGATTTTCCCTCACATCCCGTTCCGATTTCCATCCAAAAGACAGGGAACGGGGAGATTTTTCCTTCCCGTTCCATCCCAAACAGACAGGGAACGGGGAGATTTTTCCTCGCATCCCGTTCAGATTCCCATCCAACAGACAGGAAGCGGGGACATTTTTCCCCACATCCTGTTCTGATCCCCATCCAACAGACAGGAAGTCAGAAGAAATTTCCCATTTGGTTGCACAGCAAGTCAACAGAGGATCGAACCTTTCCCACACTTCCAAATCTAAAATAAATCTTGAAGTCCCAGCACACGTGTGGAGCCGCGATGCCCCGCCCACAGCCAGGCAGCCATCTTCCTGGGACGTACTTTTGATCATACTGACGTCATTGGCGCCGTCTCCGATGGCCAAGGTCACGGCCTTCTTGTACTTCTTCACCAGCTGCACCACCTGCGCCTTCTGGAGAGGGGTGACCCGGCAGCAGATCACCGCTTGACACATATTCGCCGTCCTCAGAAGCTCCACCTCCATCTTCTCTTCTAGAGCGTAAGCCTATCAGACAAGAGCATCAGAACGGTCAAGAGCTGGAGGGACCAATGGAGAAGCACGGAGGGAAGTGGGTGGGGCTGGTCCAAAATGTTCCCTCTGCATCAGCCCTGTAATAAAGGTGGCAGTGATTTCATCACTGGGTCTCTGTGCTTCTCTATGCAATGCAGGCAGATCATGGCTGGCGGGAGGGTGCTGTACACCCAGCACCCTGCCTCAGTATGCTCTCTGTACTGCACAGTGATGATGTCACCGCTACTTTTACCTGGTAATATCTGGGTTCACCAAGTCACAATATGGCCTCCACTTACCAGGCTGTGCCCATTGATGATGATCCCGTACGTCTCATCTCCCGCCAAGCTCATCATCTGGAATGACCAGAGTCTTCTTCTTCCATCCTTTCTGTATGTGAACGTCGTAGCTGTCCAGGAAGGAGTCCGGGTTCATCTTCCTCCGAGCAGACCTGGGAGACACACAGGTTATAGCACCGGCCCCTCCTGTTTAGAGCTAGGTAGTTCAGCCCTAGCTAGGTTCGCCCCCCTCCTCCACATTCCCTCAATCGGTATTGGTTCTTAGCAAGGCTTTTATTCCTCAGAGAATCGGTGCAGGAACTCCCCATTCTGAGTCGCTTCTTGTCTCCGCCCCCGACCCACCTCCCAGTACCGCCCCTTTTAGTGAATATAGAGCCAAGTATCATTTTGTGGTGCTAAGTAATGTGTATGGAATGGATTAATGATAGCAAGAAAAACAGGAAATGAGATCCCCCACAGACAGCAGAAAAAGGCCCTCCCCAGCAACAATAGATCCCCCAGCAACAATAGACCCCCCAGCAACAACAGACCCCCAGCAACAACAGATCTCCCAGCAGCCAGAATCGATAGACTCTCCAACAGCCAGCAACAAGACCCCTCCCTCAAAAGCAGGGGCGGACTGACAACTCATGGGGCCCCCGGGCAATAGGGGATCATGGGGCCCCTGTGTCCTTGCCCAAACTCAAAAAAGCCTATGAAAAAAGTACCAGGGGCATCTCATGGGGCCCCCTACTGACCCCCGGGCAGTGCCCAAGTTTCCAAATGGTCAGTCCGCCCCTGCTCAACAGTAGATCCCTTTCAGCAACAATCAACCCCCCAAAAAAATATAAGCCACCAGAAACAATAGATCCTTCCATCAGCAACAACAGACTGTTATACAAAAAAATATATGTCCTCCAGCAACAATAGATCTCACAGCAGCCAGCGACAAAAGACCCCCCTTTTCAACAGTAGATGCCATTCAGCAACAATCTACTCCCCCCCAACAATATAATCCCCCAGCAACAATAGATCCCCCATCAGCAACAATAAACCATCATTAAAAAATAGATGCCCTCCAGCAACAATAGATCCCACAGCAGCCAGCTACAAAAGAGACCCCTCTCTCAACAGTAGAAGCCATTCAGCAACACTCTACTCCCCCCCCAACAATATAAGCCCCCCCCAGCAACAGTAGATCCCCCATCAGCAACAATAAACTGTCATTCAAAAATAGATGACCTACAGCAACAAGAGATCTCACAGCAGCCAGCTACAAAAGACCCCTCTCTCAACAGTAGATGCCATTCAGCAACAATTGACCCCCAGCAACCTAACACCCCCCCCCCCAAGCAACAATAGACCTGCCCATCAACAATAGAACACCATGCAGGCAGCATAAAAAGGCCCTCCGCACACCCCCACACTCCTTGCCATTACATACACTCAGTGCTGGAGGTTCCGGAACTGGGTTACCATTGAAAAAAGGCCCCGATTCTCAGCAAGGACAGGACTCAGGAACATTTTTTTCCTCCTGCACTCCAAGAGGCTGGAAACACATCCAGTAATATAGTAACATTGTGTTACATACAGGTGGCCATACTGTCCAGACAGACTGGATCTATGGATGGTGCAGAGTCAGCAGGCGACCATACTGTCCGGACAGACTGGATCTATGGATGGTGCAGAGTCAGCAGGTGGCCATACTGTCCGGACAGACTGGGTCTATGGATGGTGCAGAGTCAGCAGGTGGGACCATACTGTCCGGACAGACTGGATCTATGGATGGTGCAGAGTCAGCAGGTGACCAACTGTCCGGACAGACTGGATCTATGGATGGTACTGAGATCAGCAGGTGGGGCCATACTGTCCGGACAGACTGGGTCTATGTATGGTGCAGAGTAAGCAGGTGGCCATAATGTCCGGACAGACTGGGTCTATGGATGGTGCAGAGTCAGCAGGTGACCATACTGTCCGGACAGACTGGGTCTATGGATGGTGCAGAGTCAGCGGGTGACCATACTGTCCGGACAGACTGGATCTATGGATGGTGCAGAGTCAGCAGGTGGCCATACTGTCTGGACAGACTGGGTCTATGGATGGTGCCAAGTCAGCGGGTGGGGCCATACTGTCCGGACAGTCTGGATCTATGGATGGTGCTGAGTCAGCAGGTGGGGCCATACTGTCCGGACAGACTGGGTCTATGGATGGTGCAGAGTCAGCAGGTGACCATACTGTCCGGACAGACTGGATCTATGGATGGTGCAGAGTCAGCAGGTGGCCATACTGTCCGGACAGACTGGGTCTATGGATGGTGCAGAGTAAGCAGGTGACCATACTGTCCAGACAGACTGGGTCTATGGATGGTGCCAAGTAAGCAGGTGACCATACTGTCCGGACAGTCTGGATCTATGGATGGTGCTGAATCAGCAGGTGGGGCCATAATGTCCGGACAGACTGGGTCTATGGATGGTGCTGAGTAAGCAGGTGACCATACTGTCCGGACAGACTGGATCTATGGATGGTGCCAATAAGCAGGTGGGGCCATACTGTCCGGACAGTCTGGATCTATGGATGGTGCTGAATCAGCAGGTGGGGCCATACTGTCCGGACAGACTGGATCTATGGATGGTGCAGAGTAAGCAGGTGACCATACTGTCCGGACAGACTGGGTCTATGGATGGTGCAGAGTCAGCAGGTGGCCATACTGTCCGGACAGACTGGGTCTATGGATGGTGCAGAGTAAGCAGGTGACCATACTGTCCGGACAGACTGGGATCTATGGATGGTGCAAGAATCAGCAGGTGGGGCCATACTGTCCGGACAGACTGTCTGGATCTATGGATGGTGCTGAATCAGCAGGTGGGACCATACTGTCCGGACAGACTGGATCTATGGATGGTGCTGAATCAGCAGGTGGGGCCATACTGTCCGGACAGACTGGGTCTATGGATGGTGCAGAGTAAGCAGGTGACCATACTGTCCGGACAGACTGGATCTATGGATGGTGCTGAATCAGCAGGTGGGGCCATACTGTCCGGACAGACTGGGATCTATGGATGGTGCGAGTCAGCAGGTGGGCCATACTGTCCGGACAGACTGGGTCTATGGATGGTGCAGAGTAAGCAGGTGACCATACTGTCCGGACAGTCTGGATCTATGGATGGTGCTGAATCAGCAGGTGGGGCCATACTGTCCGGACAGACTGGATCTATGGATCCGGCCGAGTCAGCAGGTGGGACCATACTGTCCGGACAGACTGGGTCTATGGATGGTGCAGAGTCAGCAGGTGGGGCCATACTGTCCGGACAGACTGGGTCTATGGATGGTGCTGAGTCAGCAGGTGGGGCCATACTGTCTGGGCCTGCTGACTCTGGATCTATGGATGGTGCCTGAGTCAGCAGGTGGCCATACTGCCCGGACAGACTGGGTCTATGGATGGTGCCGAGTCAGCAGGTGGCCATAATGTCCGGACAGACTGGATCTAAGGATGGTGCCGAGTCAGCAGGTGGCCATAATGTCCGGACAGACTAACTGGATGGTACCGAGTCAGCAGGTGGCCATACTGTCCGGACAGACTGGGGGTCGGAGATTCTGGATGGTGCGGAGTCAGCAGGGGCCATACTGTGTGGGACGGACAGACTACTGATCTATGGATGGGAGAGCCGAGTCTGACAGACATTATGTGATGGTCAGCAGGTGGCCATAATGTCCGGAGACTAGACCAGTGGTCTATGGATGGTGCCGAGTCACACTATTTTTGGCCATACTGTCCGGACAGACTGGGTCTATGGATGGTGCCAAGTCAGCAGGTGGCCATAATGTCCGGACAGACTGGGTCTATGGATGGTGCCGAGTCAGCAGGTGGCTACTCTGTGGCTGGGCCTCTGACTCGGGGCTTTTGACTCTTTTCTTTTCTGCTCCCCATGGCTCAGTATCTAGCCTAGTCAGTGCTAACAAACTCAGAGGACTATTTATACACTGACACTAACTGACACTACTGCAATTGCAAGAGCCACAGATATGGGACATTCTGCATTGTAACCCGTGGGTCCCCTTGTGTGCTGTACCAAGGCCAAACATTCTGATCTGACCCGGGGGGCGGAGACTTCTGATCTGGGGGCGGAGACTTTCTGATCTGGGGGGCAGAGACTTCTGATCTGGGGGGCGGAGACTTCTGATCTGGGGGGCGGAGGCTTCTGATCTGGGGGCGGAGACTTCTGATCTGGGGGGCGGAGACTTCTGATCTGGACCATTTGGGGATTTCTGTCATTAGGATTTAAAAAAAGAGCCAAACAACTATGTGATAATAAATGGCTTCATATGATCATCATCCTTCAATAAAACAGTTTTTTTTTTGTCACAACCCGTCATATTTTCAATATCAATGCCAAAAATGTCTCCATTTCTGCCAGCGGGTGCAAACGTTTGATCACATCTGTACAATAGCTTGGCTGGATGATAGAGAGGCATTGCTGAAAAGCACAGAAGGAACTGAGGCGACGGTGAATTTTCTACCTGAGCTCCCCCATCACCTCCTCAGGACTGGTGCCTTTGATGATGAACACCTCCTTCATCTCATCCTGCAGCATGTTACAGGAGTAGCCGATGTTCTCAGCCGTCTCTGGAAAACAGAAGGTACAGCTTACAGAGGGAACCCCAAAGATATGACATCACCGCAGCAAAGATGTGACATCACCACAGCAAAGATATGACATCACCGCAGCAAAGATATGACATCACCGCAGCAAAGATATGACATCACCGCAGCAAAGATATGACATCACCCCAGCAAAAGATATGACATCACCCCAGCAAAGATATGACATCACCCCAGCAAAGATATGACATCACCGCAGCAAAGATGTGACATCACCCCAGCAAAGATATGACATCGCCCCAGCAAAGATGTGACATCACCCCAGCAAAGATATGACATCACCGCAGCAAAGATATGACATCACCTCAGCAAAGATATGACATCGCCCCAGCAAAGATGTGACATCACCGCAGCAAAGATGTGACATCACCACCGCAGCAAAGATGTGACATCACCCCAGCAAAGATATGACATCACCGCAGCAAAGATATGACATCACCGCAGCAAAGATGTGATATCGCCCCAGCAAAGATATGACATCACTGCAGCAAAGATATGACATCACCGCAGCAAAGATATGACATCACCTCAGCAAAGATATGACATCACCCCAGCAAAGATATGACATCGCCCCAGCAAAGAAGATATGACATATGACCCCCCAGCAAAGATATGACATCACCGCAGCAAAGATATGACATCACTGCAGCAAAGATATGACATTACCCCAGCAAAGATATGACATCACCGCAGCAAAGATATGACGTCACCCCAGCATGACCGTACAGGGAAGGGGAGGACAGGCACAGCACAGTCTACAGGACATGTTGGAATTTTTCAGCTGGACCCCCATTGTTCCCCACGCATTATCCTTTACGTAGCATTACCCAGAGCAAACGAGCATGCGCAATTTTTTTTTTTTTGCAAAATCAGTTTTCATTTTGAGCCCTACATGCAGAGGAACATATTTTTTTTCGTCTGTGTGAATTCCGCACCACATCAGAATCGCACCCCATTCATGCGAACCGCCGCTGGTGTGTATGTTAACAACACCCCGAAATCGGTCCGCAAAACGTGGTGCAAAGAGAGGAATCGGATCACATAGGTGTGCATACCCAAAAAAGGTACGGCTCCAATCGCACCGCACACAAATCGCATGTGATCTGCCCAGGAGTGCGGTTCCTGTGTGAATAGCCATGCGATCCGATTCTAGTGCCGACCCAAGAAAGGGTCCTGTATGTTTTTTGTACGAGTGCGGTGCGATTAGAGTCATACATAATGTAGGTCTCCGATCGCACCGCACACAAATCGCATGTGATCTGCCCAGGAGTGCGGTTCCTGTGTGACTCACATGTGATATACCGCACCGCACGTATGTGAACCCGGGCTAAAAAAAAGTGTAAAAATGCATCAAAAACGCAATGCAGAAATGGCTCAGCCTAGCCTTAGGGACCGGTCCCCAGAAGCGCCTCTCACCTTGCTTGTCCCCTGTGAGGACCCAGATCTTGATGTCGGCCTTGGTCAGGGTCTCGATGGTATGGGGGACCCCATCCTGGAGTTTGTCTTCTATGGCAGAGGCTCCAATTAACTACACAGGAGAGAATGGAGGAGACAGCTATAGTTATATGGTGTGGCATTGTGAGTGGAACCCTTGTTGTCGGGTAATCGCATTAGGCTGTAATTCAAACAAACAAAATGACCGTTCAGTATGAATGCTGCATGTGCTGCCTTATTCAAGGACAGCCATTAGAGGGAGCTGCTACAATTTCACTGTGTGTGTCTCAATCCAGAGCACTGAGTGTCATTCCCGTCTGCTATCAGCAGGAGTCACTCCCGGCAGGTTTCCCTAAAACCAAGAGATAAAAGGGTGACAGGGGAGGGAACTCCAGCACACAGCCTGTGATTGACAGCCTCAGCTCTGCTCCGGTGTGAAAAAAGGGTGTGTCTCTTCCAGGAGTGGACTAACAATTCATGGGGCCTCCGGGTAATAGGGGATCATGGGGCCCCTGTGTCCTCACCCACACCCAAAAAAGCCTATGAAAAAGCCAAGGAAAGGTACCAGGGGCATCTCATGGAGCCCCCTACTGACCCCGGGCCCTCTGGCAGTGCCCGAGTGCTCGAATGGTCAGTCCGCCCCTGGTCTCTTCCCTCCAATCAGCTCTGCGGAGTGGAACTTCAGCTCTCCGCCCCCTGCTTTGTGAATGTTCACACAAGCTGTATAAATTCTGAACTTTGAACAGATGTAGAGAAGAATGAGCTGCAGATAAACAGGTACAACTTATATCAGAGGATTTGTTTCATCGCTGTGTATCACCTGAGGCCAGTCACTTCACTGGGTATATGAAGGGGTTCACTACCACTGTACATTCTAAACTGCTGCCTGGTAAATGTTACAATAAATTACAGAGTGCACTCATGGGCAGGTCTGTGACACCACTGTATTCCTTAGCTATAAAAAGAAAATGGTGTCACCCTAGGGCTGTCATCTCATCCTTTTAGTCCCCGGTCACACAGGATGCGAATTGGCATGCGATTTTCATGCCATGCAACTTGCAAATCGTATGCCAAGTCGCATCCTATTGTCCGCAAGTACAGCGGTCATATCTGTGCGATTCTGACTTGGTCGGAGCCACACCCATTTCTAATAAGTACATGGACGACTTTTGGTGCGATTTCCATAGACATCTGTGTCAGATGTCTTGTAAGATTCACCTCAAATCGGCATCTCACCGGATTTTGAGATCGTGTAAGTCGCACAATTTCAAAGTCAGGTTTGGTGTGGCTGGGGTGTTAAAACTGAACACATATTAAAGTGTTACTAAACCCCGGACCCCGCATGCACTATATCCACTCTCCCCGGACCCTGCATGCACTATATCCGCTCTCCCCAGACCCCGCATGCACTATATCCGCTCTCCCCAGACCCCGCATTCACTATATCCGCTCTCCCCGGACCCCGCATTCTCTATATCCGCTCTCCCCGGGCCCCGCATTCACTACATCCGCTCTCCCCGGACCCCGCATTCACTATATCCGCTCTCCCCAGACCCTGCATTCACTATATCCGCTCTCCCCAGACCCTGCATTCACTATATCCGCTCTCCCCAGACCCCGCATTCACTATATCCTCTCTCCCCGGACCCCGCATTCACTATATCCGCTCTCCCCAGACCCCGCATTCACTATATCCGCTCTCCCCAGACCCTGCATTCACTATATCCGCTCTCCCCAGACCCTGCATTCACTATATCCGCTCTCCCCGGACCCCGCATGCACTATATCCGCTCTCCCCGGACCCCGCATTCATTATATCCGCTCTCCCCGGACCCCGCATTCACTATATCCGGTCTCCCCAGACCCCGCATTCACTATATCCCCTCTCCCCGGACCCCACATTCACTATATCCGCTCTCCCCGGACCCCGCATTCACTATATCCGCTCTCCCCAGACCCCGCATTCACTATATCCGCTCTCCCCGGACCCCGCATTCACTATATCCGCTCTCCCCAGACCCCGCATTCACTATATCCGCTCTCCCCGGACCCCGCATTCACTATATCCGCTCTCCCCTGACCCCGCATTCACTATATCCGCTCTCCCCGGACCCCGCATTCACTATATCCGCTCTCCCCGGACCCCGCATTCACTATATCCGCTCTCCCCGGACCCCACATTCACTATATCGCTCTCCCCGGACCCCACATTCACTATATCCGCTCTCCCCGGACCCCACATTCACTATATCCGGTCTCCCTGGACCCCGCATTCCCTATATCCGCTCTCTCCCCGGACCCCGCATTCCCTATATCCGCTCTCCCCGGACCCCGCATTCCCTATATCCGCTCTCCCCGGACCCCATATTCACTATATCCGCTCTCCCCGGACCCCGCATTCACTATATCCGCTCTCCCCGGACCCCGCATTCGCTATATCCGCTCTCCCCAGACCCCGCATTCACTATATCCGCTCTCCCCAGACCCTGCATTCACTATATCCGCTCTCCCCGGACCCCGCATTCACTATATCCGCTCTCCCCGGACCCCGCATTCACTATATCCGCTCTCCCCTGACCCCGCATTCACTATATCCGCTCTCCCCTGACCCCGCATTCACTATATCCGCTCTCCCCGGACCCCGCATTCACTATATCCGCGCTCCCCGGACCCCGCATTCCCTATATCCGCTCTCCCTGGACCCCGCATTCCCTATATCCGCTCTCCCCTGACCCTGTATTCACTATATTTGGTCTCGCACAGTACACAGAACATGTAAATGCAATTATTTTAGTGAATATAAACTGTTTTCTCATCAGCAGTATATAGCAGTCTTGTGACTTCTATCAGTGTCCAGCAGAGCACATGTTAAAACTTGTAGGAGTTTTCTTTCTGCTCTAGGAGGATGCAGAACCCCTGACCTCTGTCTCGACAGTGCTGATTGGCCCTGTGCTGAACACATGCACTCTCCCAAGTAAAAAAAAAACTCTCGCAAAACACACCAAACTGAGCATGTGCAGAATGTCTCCACACTATATGTCTTATCAGGTGATAAGAGGGGGACACTGGAAGAAGGGGAGGATCAGAGAAGACAGGATCAAACATCCTTTTTTACACAATGCGAAGGATTAACCCCTTAGGTCCCACAGTGAGTAGAACAAGCACGCTTTCCTGCATCTACAGACTGATTGTACTGTTGGGGGTTTAGTAACACTTTAATTACTCGGGTTCTGTAGCTAATTAAGGTGGTAATTAAACTTACTTAGGTGCCTTTCAGCCGAGGTGGAGCTGTCATTGTGATCCGCCTGCTCCGTGAGGTATCTGTCCACTGATCTCCGCTGAGCAGGTGGATGACAGGTCTCTGTCTGTTCTGCTGCTGCAGACACTGCCTGCCGATTTCAATGGGACGGTCGGATGGAAACGGACTACTTGTCCATTTTTACCCGATTGTCATCCGATCCGATGGACGGATGGGGAACGGATCCCCATCCACCTGTCTTTGGCGTACAGGATCGGACCGGATGCCAGTGGACTATTGTCCGCTGACACCTGCCGGTCAATAGAAGTCTATGGATGGACCGATCGGGTCCACCTGAAAAACGGACAGGCGGACCCACGTCGATCCGCCCGTGCAAAAGGGGCCACATCTGCATGAAACTAGCCTCAGAACCCGTGTAATTAATATGTATTCAGATTTAACCAATAGCCGTTTTGAGGCTGGGAAAAGGCTGTAGATTTCCGGGTGGACGCCATATGGCGCAGTTTTCGCGCTTGCAGAGCCGTGCAGCGGCGCGATCTGTCACCGGCCGTGTACCTCGGACAGATCTGAGTACCGGCCCCGTTGCCGGTGCCATGTGACCTGCTGTGACCAATCACAGCAGGTCACATGACAGTTGTATACTAGGGATGGCTTCATTCATGCCATCCATTGTATACTAGTGTATAGCTGTGAATGGTCACAGCGATCACATGCACATGTCATGTGATTAGCCGTGGCCAAATCACAGCTAAGCACAAAAAAAAAAAAAAAAAAATGATGTCATTCAGGTAAATGCAAAGTAATTCTTTGCTATAAGCAAATTGTGTAAAAAAAAAAATACTGATCACTTCCCCAAAGTAGTACAATGTTACTATGGTAACATTGTACTACTTTGGACATAGTGAAATATGAAAAAAAAATCTTAAAAAAAAGAAAAAAAATTTAATAAAAAATTAAAAAATAATAATAATAAAAATATATATATATATATATATATTTTCATATTGTCACCAGTCAGTGTCCCTGATCACTGCTACGCCAGTTATATGATGACGCTGTACTGCACTGGTGACAATATGTAAAAAAAAAATAGTGAAAATAATTTTTTTAATTTTTTCATTTTCCGAAAAATTATGACAAAAAAAATACAACTTCAAATAACTCGCCATTCCTCTTATGAAGTACGTCGGACTGTCTACTCTGCAAAAAGGGGTCATTTGGGGGATATCTGTACTGTCCTGACATTTGGGGGATATCTGTCCTGTCCTGTCCTGACATTTGGGGGATATCTGTACTGTTCTGACATTTGGGGGATATCTGTACCGTCCTGACATTTGGGGGATATCTGTACCGTCCTGACATTTGGGGGATATCTGTACCGTCCTGACATTTGGGGGGTATCTGTACTGTCCTGACATTTGGGGGATATCTGTACCGTACTGACGTTTGGGGGGTATCTGTACTGTCCTGACATTTTGGGGGATATCTGTACTGTCCTGACGTTTGGGGGATATCTGTACTGTCCTGACGTTTGGGGGATATCTGTACTGTCCTGACGTTTGGGGGATATCTGTATCGTCCTGACATTTGGGGGATATCTGTATCGTCCTGACATTTGGGGGGATATCTGTACTGTCCTGACATTTGGGGGATATCTGTACCGTCCTGACGTTTGGGGGGTATCTGTACCGTCCTGACATTTTGGGGATATCTGTACCGTCCTGACGTTTGGGGGATATCTGTACTGTCCTGACGTTTGGGGGATATCTGTATCGTCCTGACATTTGGGGGGGATATCTGTACTGTTCTGACATTTGGGGGATATCTGTACTGTCCTGACATTTGGAGGATATCTGTACTGTCCTGACATTTGGGGGATATCTGTACTGTCCTGACATTTGGGGGATATCTGTACTGTCCTGACATTTGGGGGATATCTGTAATGTTCTGACATTTGGGGGGATATCTGTACTGTCCTGACATTTGAGGGATATCTGTACTGTTCTGACATTTGGGGGATATCTGTACCGTCCTGACATTTGGGGGATATCTGTCCTGTCCTGACATTTGGGGATATCTGTACTGTCCTGACATTTGGGGGATATCTGTACTGTTCTGACATTCTTGGACCTCAAGAAATTAGATTGGCTGTCAGTACTTCAGGATTGATCAATATTCAGATCTATCCCATAGTTTGTGAACTCTATAACTTTCCTACAAACTAAATAATACATCCTAATTTGGGTTATTTTCACCAAAGACATGTAGCAGAATACATCTCGGCCTAAATTTATGAAGAACAATTATTTATTTGCAAACTTTTAAAACAGAAACAAAGAAAAACGTGTTTTTTTTTTCAAACTTTTCAGTCTTTTTTTGTTAATTTAGCAAAAAAAAAACCCCAGTGATGATTAAATACCACCCAAAAGAAAGCTCTAGTTGTGTGAAGAAAATGATAAAATTTTAGTTTGGGTACAATGTTGTATGACCGCGCAATTGTCATTCAAAGTGTGAGAGCACTGAAACCTGAAAAATGGCCTGGGCAGGAAGGTGTAAAATTGCCCCATATTGAAATGGTTAAAGGAATGAGGTGGCAACCCTGGGATGTCACCCTCCTGGCTGTCTGGAAACATTTTTCCTGGAAGAAACATTCCTGCAAGCTGACCGAAATGTCACCATATGTTTTCCAATAGATTCATTCCTGTATCATCAGCTCCATCTAGTGGACAAAATGCAGTACAGTTTTCTCAAACACCCCAATGAGAAATTATACAGCATTTTGTCCACTAGATGGAGCTGATGATACAAGAATGAATCTATTGGAAAACATATGGTGACATTTCGGCCAGCTTGCAGGAATGTTTCTGACATTTGTGCACCTAATGATCTACAAGCAGGCCCCTTAGCGATTGTCAGTCCAGGTTCACACCGATGCGGTGCGGAATTCATAGCGTTTTCTGTGCGCACTCCGCACCGCATCACAATCGCACCCCGTTACTGCAAACTGCTGCTGGTGTGTATGTTAACAACACCCCGAAATTGATCCGCAAAACACGGTGCGATGTACAGAATCGGATCGCATAGGTGTGAATACCCGTGTGATCCGATTCTAGTGCGGACCCAAAAAAGGGTCCTGCACCTTTTTGGTGCGGATGCGGTGCGATTTGAGCCATACATAATGTACGGCTCCGATCGCACCACACAGAATTTGCATGTGATTTGTACAGGGATGCGGTGCGGTTCCTGTGTGAATCACATGTGATGTACCGCACTGCATCAGTGTGAACCCGGGCTGAAGGCATTATTCATCACAAGAATGTCTTATGTTTTACAATTTATTTCCTGTGATAAGGCAGGAACACCAGTAAGAATCTGTGATGGAGGAATGGTTCCTGTTGATTAACCACTGGCCCTCCGCCCTATAGTAGAAATACTGCTACAGGGCAGCAGGGCTGCGCAAAATCACGTGTGTGTGTGTGTATATATATATATATATATATATATATATATATATATATATATATATACACGTGATTTGCATTTCTGGGTAGAGGTCTGCTATTGGCGGCTAGAAATGTCAATCACCGGGTCCCGTCTAGCACTCAGTGATCATCGCGGAACACAATCCAGAATATCCGTGGGAAATCCGTACCAAGACAGAATGAAGTAAACCAGTCAAAGCCATACTGAGTTAAATGAGCCCCAGAAAAGTCATCTATATCTCCGGGAAGTGGTGGCACCAGGGGCAGACTGACAACTCATGGGGCCCCCGGGCAATAGGGGATCATAGGGCCCCCGTGTCCTCGCCCACACCCAAAAAAGCCTATGAAAAAGCCAATGAAACGTACCAGGAGCATCTCATGGGGCCCCCTACTGACCCAGGGCCCTCGGGCAGTGCCCGAGTGTTTGAATGGTCAGTCCGCCCCTGGGTGGCACACTACAACATAGTGGATGGATAAAGATTGATGTGAACCTTCAGGTCCCTCTCGATCTCTTCATACAACTTTGACAGCTTCCCCTCGCGGTTGTCCAGGGATGTGCTGGCCTCGTGGTGCCGTTTCTTCCAGCCTGCAAAGTAGGTCTTATCCAAATCTTTGTATGCCAGGGCCAGAGTACGTAGGCCCTCGCCGGCAAACTCCTGTGATGGGGGAAGGATTAGAGAAGGACAAACAGTCAGACATAATTTGATACATTAGACATTTTTGATGAGTGATTCGATGGTCCTCATTAAAAGAAAAGCCTGATATTTCAGATCAGGGGCGGACTGACAACTCATGGGGCCCCTGGGCAATAGGGGATCATGGGGCCCCTGTGTCCTTGCCCAAACTCAAAAAAGCCTATGAAAAAGGTACCAGGAGCATCTCATGGGCCCCCTACTGACCCCGGGCAGTGCCCGAGTTTCCAAATGGTCAGTCCGCCCCTGTTTCAGATATATATTATATGGTCAAAGTTTGTAGACCCCTGACCATCACACCTATATAGGCTCGTTGGCCACAACCATGGCCACTATTATGGAGTTGGACCCACCTTTGTGATTATACCAGCCTCTAATTTTCTAGGAAGGCTTTCTCCAATATTGATGAGGTCAGGTACTGATGTTGGATGAGAAGACCTGCCTCACAACTGGCATTCCAATTCATTCAAAAGGTGTTATGTAGGATCAAGGTCAGGGCTCTGTGCAGTTCATTTAGGTTCCACCATACCAAACCCATCAGACCATGTCTTTTTGGCATGGGCTTTGCGTATGTCATGGGAGCCCCTCATAATTGGCACATCAAGTGTACAAATTTAAGAACTCTCACAGGGATGGTGGGAGACACCCTTAATTTATACAGCAGGTGTACAGACCCAGGAACTCAGCTCAGGGATGATGGTAACCACTTATAATGGGCACAGCAGTTGTTCAAACTTTGAAACTCAGCTAATTGAATGGGTAAAGCAGATGTGCACTACCCTCGTGAAGGACACTGAATTTGTTTTGAGTCCCCCTAAGCTCTGCATAGCCAGGCAACACATTTTCCACACTTCAGAGCAGGGGCGGACTGACCATTTGGAAACTCGGGCACTGCCCGAGGGCCCGGGGTCAGTAAGGGGCCCCATGAGATGCCCCTGGTACCTTTTTCATAGGCTTTTTTGAGTTTGGGCAAGGACACAGGGGCCCCATGATCCCCTATTGCCCGGGGGCCCCATGAGTTGTCAGTCCGCCCCTGCTTCAGAGTCAGTAAACAGTCTTTGAGCTGGTTTTTGTTTTTATTAAGGGGTAACAACTTTGATGGGGTCTAGAGGTATATGGGATGCCCAAGGAACTGCAAACTTGACGACAAACTTCTTAGCAACCTGTACACTGTATAAAATGTAGATACGCAAAATAGCACTGCCTCTTAAAGGAGCTCTAAAATCCCCTTGGTGTATCTCCTCAGACCCTAGATGATTCCTCCTCTTCACCCAGCTGCACTGAGGGTATCCCTGGGCAAGGGATTCTAAGATGAAGCAATTAAGCAGTCCAGGATGAGAACTACTTGGGTCTTACTCCTGGCTTCCCTCTCCCTTTATCTGGGCCAGGGGTTGTAGAAGTGCTCACGCTGTCTTGTCCTGTTAGCTTGGTGGGTTGAAGCTGCTTTCAGGCCTTTCGCTGGGCTGACCCCTTCTCAACTGGCAGGTTGTCCTTCCTAGGAGATGCTGGGACAGTGGAGATCCTTCTGTCCAGCAACCAGCCTGTAGGTAGGCTCTCCTTCCTGGGGCCCCCTCACTCCAGCCTTCTCTCAGTCCATCTTCCACCCGACACCCTACTGCACAGGCTCTGCCACATTTAAGGGTTGTCTTTGGTCACCATGCCCAATTGGCCAAGGTCCCTCAACCATGCAGATCTGGCCTCCTCCACCCCTCTTCCAGAATATTCTCTAAGTTTCTGGAATGGTGAGAGGGCTCCAGAATCCCTGACCTGTACAGCCTACAAGCCTGTCCTAAGGTGACCTCAATACCTCACTCCCAAGCTGACTCATCCCAGGCCGCTACCCAGCCTCTATCTAACAAAAATCCTATCTAGCTAGCCTAGAGGGCGTTACATGCAGACAATTCAATGCAGATATGGCGGGACCCCCTCATAATGGGCACAGCAGGTGCGCAAACCTAGGAACTTAGTACAGGGGTGGTGGGAACCCATCAAAATGGGCACAGCAGGTGTTCAGAATCGAGAATTCAAGACAAGGATCTTGGAAACCCCTCGTATTGGGCACAGCAGGTGTGCAGACCTGGGAAATTAACACAAGGATATTGAAAACCCCTCCTAATGGGCACAGCAGGTGTGCAAACCTAGGAACTTAGCACAGGGGTGTTGGGAACCCATCAAAGTGGGCACAGCAGGTGTGCAGAATCGAGAATTCAAGACAAGGATCTTGGAAACCCCTCATAATGGGCACAAAAGGTGTGCAGACCTGGGGACTGAACACAAGGACATTGAAAACCCCTCATAATGGGCACAGCAGGAGTGCAGACCCAGAAACCTAGTACAGAGACCTCGCCAAGGGAGTCCTGGAGAGATAGAGGAAAGTGTCCAGGGTTTAACTCCCCAGCATTTACCAAAACATTGAAAAATACGTTTGTGGACACGAGTTGTAGAACTTACATTCAGATGATCGGTGGTCACCTCCTTCAAGTCTGCACTTGAGCGGTCAAGAAGTTCGTAGACGATGGTGTCGGCCCCTTTGCAGTAAAGGGTCAGACGCCCCTCTGGGCTTCGCACTGCCAGAAGGAAAAAAAAGATACGACAATATAAGAATAAACTATAACAGAATAGCCTACACACACGGTCAATGATGGAAAGAGAACATTCAGAACAATCAGAAGATCCCACCATAAATATACTGATTTTACATTTTTGGGGTTTTTTTAGGAATCTTCTGGAAGAAGAACATTCAGAACAATCAGAAGATCCCACCATAAATATACTTATTTTACATTTTGGGTTTTTTTTTAGGAATCTTCTAGAAGAAGAACATTCAGAAACAATCAGAAGATCCCACCATCAGAAAAATCCCACCATAAATATATACTTATTTTACGTTTTTGTTTTTTTTTTTAGGAATCTTCTGGAGGAAGAACATTCAGAACAATCAGAAGATCCCACCATAAATATACTTATTTTACATTTTTGGTGTTTTTTTTAGGAATCTTCTGGAAGAAGAACATTCAGAACAATCAGAAGATCCCACCATAAATATACTTATTTTACATTTTTGGTGTTTTTTTTAGGAATCTTCTGGAAGAAGAAGCTCTACCCACCAAGTTGTAGACCTTTAGAAGACACAATAAATGCCACCGTGTTGCTCAAGTATTTCCTTGATACAACTGGCCATTTCAATGTGATTCAATGCAACTATGGACACACCCAGTCAAAGAGAATGCAATTGTAAACAGACACAATTGCTGAAATCTATTGCCGGCCATAGATGGGTCAAAAATGGCCGATTTTTCGGCTGATAAAAAAAAAAAAAAAAAAAAGAATCGGCCGATTTTTGCACCGTTAGTGGTTAATTGGTCGGCTGTTTTTCAGGGTTTTTGCACATTTTTTTTTTTATCGGTCATGTTGGAAAGTTCGCAGCAGATTTTGACGATGATGGTGATGATAAGCTCGGACGATCGTTTTACCGATAAAAAATCTGCGCATGAGCCGTGACCTGGAAGAAGAGGAAGAAGAAGAGGAAGAGGAAAGAGGAGGAAGAGGAAGAAGAGGAAGGAGAGGAGGAGCAGAGAGGAGGAAGAAGAGGAAGAGGAGGAGAGAGGAGGAAGAGGAGGAAGAAGAGAAGAGGAGGAGAGAAAGAGGAGGAGGAAGAGGAAGAAGAAGGAAGAGGAGGAGGAGCAGGAAGAGGAAGAAGAAGAAGAGGAGGAAAAAGAAGAGGAGGAAGAGGAGGAAGAAGAGGAGGAAGAGGAGGAGGAGGAAGAGGAAGAAGAAGAAGAAATTTTATTCTGCTAAAGTGAATCGATCATAGAAATGGGAGACACCTGAATCCTTCCTACGAACTGGAAGTCCAGTCCACTATTATATATTATAGGAAGTCTTGCGGTTGCAACAATGTATCCAAATAAAACCATCTGTATCCAAATAATGTATTTGTATTGCTGTTACATTGTATGGTGTGCTCCCCTGTCTCTGTCTAAAGCCGGCCATAGACGGGTCGAAAATCGGCTGATTTTTTTAACGTTGCTGGTAACGTCGGCCGATCGAATGACCGATTTTTCGTTTTTTTGTTTTTTTTTAAATCAGCCCATGTTCAACCCATCTATGGCCTGCTTAATTTTAGGCTTTAGTACAATGAAAGAAAAAAAAAAGCATTTATATAAATATTATAAAATTAGACTTGGTTTTAGTACTGTATAAAATTCTCCGTGCTTTGCCTCACCTACTCAGAACATTAGATGTCATTTCTGAGGCCATGCCAATTACAATGCTCACCAATCACAGACATCCTTTTGCGCTCATTGTTGAAGTCCAAGATAGCCAGCAAGTCGTACACTTTGGTCGTCTCCATCTCTACCACGGTGATGGTCTCTGGTGTCCGGGAGCGAAACACAAAGCCAAAGTTCCTGGCGGCGGTCACCAGAGCACCCTCATCCGGAGACTGGGCCTGGTACACCAGTTCACCTGGGGGAGGACAAAGAGAAGGTACGAAGTGTCAGTGGGCGCTCTGTTACATCCGAAAACAGCGGAGGTCAACGTATGAGGAACAGGGGGGACAAGGGCCCAACAGGGGGGACAAGGGCCCAACATAAGACTCAACATATGCACTGCTGGAGAAGACTGTCAGAGACTATACAGGTCAGAGACTGGAGACATGTCACAAGAGATTGCTAGAGATCACAGCCTAACAAATCAATGCTACCACCAGGTGGCGGACTGACCGTTTAGCTACTCGGGCACTGCCCAAGGGCCCAGAGTCAGCAGGGGGCCCCATGAGATGCCCCTGGTACCTTTCATAGGCTTTTTTGGGTGTGGATTGAGTGTGGGGACACAGACGCCCCATGATTTCCTATTGTCCGGGGGGGGTCCCATGAGTTGTCAGTCCGCCCCTGGCTACGACTACTGACTGGTGGGGTCCGAAGGTCACAGAACAAGTTCAAAAGCGATGCAGGATGGACATCAATACTAAAATAAAACATTTTCCACGACTTCCAATGTTGTTTCACAGAATACAACCAGAGAGGAGGTTTGGGTTCATCAGAAATGTGGGTTTGAAATTGGCTCTCCTGCTAGATTCCGGCATAGCCTTGCTCATTAAAACTGTCCTGCTGCTGGCCAATTTTAAAATGCTTCATTATCTGTAGCCTCTTAATTCTCCTGGTGAAGCCTCAGCCTCTTCTTATTCTCTCTAGTACATTTCGGATGATTCTCCCTCATTAAAATATCCAGCTGCTGGACAATTTTACACTGTTCTGCTACCTGCAGGCTCCTAATTCATGTAGTAAACCCCCTGCTGAATTATTTTTCTCTGGTACATTTTGGCCAATTCTCCCTCGTTAAAAATGTGCTGTTGAAAATAAATTTTACACTGCTGGTTTATCTGCAGCCTCCTCTACTGCTGCATTGTTTTTCTCTAGTACATTTCGGCCAAATCTCCCTCATTTTCGCCCGTTAGTGGGTTAATTGGTCGGCTGTTTTTCGGGGTTTTAGCACTTTTTTTTATTGGTAAAGTTGGAAAAAAAAATTGGACGATTTTGGGAGGAGGAGTTGCAACAATGTATCTATTTGTATCCAAATAAAAACATCTGTATACGAAATGGATACATTGTTGCAACCGCAATACTTTTTCATGTCATTGCTCTCTGCAAGGGACAGAAATAATTAAATGCCGGCCGTAGACGGGACGAAAATCGGACGATTTTTTTTTTTTACCGTTGGTGGTAACGTCGACCTATTGAATGACCGATTTAAAAAAAAAAAAAACGTCCGGTTTTCACCCGTCTATGGCCTGCATTACTCCATATCTGTGCTCAGGAGCTGACCATCGCAGCCCATAGATTGTGTGACCTTCGGTCCATACCTGGCTTTTTCTCCTCAGACATCGCCGTGTGGCACAAAGCAAGCAGCCGGAAGAACTCATGAGTAGCCGGGTCCCCAATCTTTATCGACTCCACCAATCGATGATCGTGAAACGCAAACTTGGGGTCAGCCAGAGAGAGTTGTAGGAAAAATCCACCTTTTCTGTGTACTTGGGAAAAAAAAAAGAAAATCTCTGTATGAATATCAGTCTCCTTCCTCTATGGAGGAGGTTATAGAGGTCTAACTTGCCTAGATTTTGCCTTTCCTGGTCCCCCATCCACATGAATCCACCAAATGAAACCTTTCCGTCTTAAAGCGGAGCTCAACCCAAAAGTGGAAGCTCCGCTTTTCTGCCTCCCCCCCCGCTACCACATTTTGCACCTTTTTGGGGGAGCAGGAATCTGCTTTTGACAGGCACCCCGCTCCCACTTCCGGCTGAGTTTGCCACAGCGAACTGAGCTGAAAGTTCGGCCCCAACCCACAGCCCTCTGGGAGACACTTCCAAGGTCCCGGAGGGCTGCGGCCCATTCACAAAGCGCAGCGTGCTTCGCATGCGCAGTGGGAAACCGGCGGTGAAGCCGCGAGGTTTCACCGCTGGTTTCCCTTAGTCAAGATGGCGGCGCCAGCACCCGACAGCCAAATGAAGAATCTGCTCGGGGTGAGGACATTGCTGGATGCATGGACAGGTGAGTGCCCTAATATTACAAGTCAGCGGCTACAGTATTTGTAGCTGCTGACTTTTAATTTTTTTTTGGGGGGGACCGGAACTCCGCTTTAATTATATACCTAATTTTAGACCCAGTGTTGTCATCACTGGGTCTCTGTGCTTCTCTATGCAATGCAGGATGATCATGCCTGGTAGGAGGGGTTGGCAGGGTACTATAGATAGTTCCTAAAAATATCATAGCACCCTTCCTCAGTCCTCTTCTTTCTCAATGCCCCCTCTCCGCTTTAATTATATACCTAATTTTAGACCCAGGGACGTCATCACTGGGTCTCTGTGCTTCTCTATGCAGTGGCTGGTAGGAGGGGTCGGCAAGGTGCTATAGATAGTTTCTAAAAAATATCAACATAGCACCCTTCCTCAGTCCTCCTCTTAAGTCCCCCTCTCTGCTTTAATTATATACCTAATTTTAGACCCAGTGATGTCATCTCTGGGTCTCTGTGCTTCTCTATGCAATGCAGGATGATCATGGCTGGTAGGAGGGGTCGGCAAGGTGCTATAGATAGTTCCTAAAAATATCATAGCACCCTTCCTCAGTCCTCTCAAGAGCCGTCAGTCCTGATGCAAGCAGTGGGCTGGCTCTTGGGAGGAGTTATGCAAATGTAAAAATACCCCGATGGGTGGAGGTCGTCTGGATAAATGGGTATTCCTAGGCAGGCTGATGGCAGCAAGTGACATTGGGCCTCCATGGCATGGCCGCTCCCTTATGTCTTTATCAGTCTGCCTGGAGTCTGTATAGATTCCATGATGTGTTCTGGGACACTTACCTCATTAATCTCCAGCCTATTCCCAGCGTAGTCAAACACATCCCCTGCAGAGAGAAGACACACCCGATGAGAAATTCCAGGATTTTACATTCTAGATCCTGATTTATTATGTCATTTATGTCACTGCTGTGTATTAGGTGAACGGATGGTTGGGTAGGTGGGTGTGAGGGGTGAGTGACACCATCGCTGAGCTTTGCAATGCCAGCAGCCTCCAGCAGGGGGAGCAACCAGTACAGCTCTCATGGGAAATCCCCCAGGGGGAGGGGTCTGTGTGCATATATACCATTCATATGGGAACGCCAATGTTTGCCATATTGGGGACAATTCACAAAGCAGTATTTCCCGCATCCAAGTATGTGCTAAGATACCGCACAGCGCTTTAAAAAAAAATGGCATTCACTAAAAAAAATTACTGAAATACCGCATGAGGCAGTCATGTGACATTTTAGTCGTGAAAACATGCGGTAATGTAACGAGTCATCCGCTGTCGGCGAAGTTCCCCGCTGACAGAAGAATGGCAATTACAAATTCAGGAGGTAAAAAAAAAAACCGCGTGGGGCCCCCCCCCCTGGGGTCCCCCCCCAATCCATACCAAGTCCTTCGGGTCTGGTATGAATTTTGAAGAAACCCCCACGCCAAATTTGTCACTATTAGTGCGATATATTTATTCCCACATTTAGGGGTTCATGATTTTTTTCACCAGTTTTGGTTAATGTAAAGCTGCTGTGGTCACTATTCATTATTAATGAACGCCGCTGCCAGACTCCTCCACCTTACTAACCGTTCTGTATCTGCTACCCCCCCTCTGCCAATCCCTCCACTGACCTCCATTCAGTGTCCTCCACCCCTCTCTGCCAATCCCTCCACTGACCTCCATTCAGTGTCCTCCACCCCTCTCTGCCAATCCCTCCACTGACCTCCATTTCAGTGTCCTCCACCCCTCTCTGCCAATCCCTCCACTGGCCTCCATTCAGTGTCCTCCACACCTCTCTTTGCCAATCCCTCCACTGGCCTCCATTCAGTGTCCTCCACCCCTCTCTGCCAATCCCTCCACTGACCTCCATTCAGTGTCCTCCACCCCTCTCTGCCAATCCCTCCACTGACCTCCATTCAGTGTCCTCCACTCCTCTCTGCCAATCCCTCCACTGGCCTCCACTCAGTGTCCTCCCCCCCTCTCTGCCAATCCCTCCACTGGCCTCCATTCAGTGTCCTCCACCCCTCTCTGCCAATCCCTCCACTGGCCTCCATTCAGTGTCCTCCACCCCTCTCTGCCAATCCCTCGGGCAGTGCCCAAGTTTCCAAATGGTCAGTCTGCCCCTGGTGGGAACCCCTCATATCGGGAACAGCGGGTGTACAGACCCGGAAATTCAGCACAGGGATGGTGGAAACCCCTCATAATGGGCATGGCGGGTGTATAGACCCGGGGAACTCAGCACAGGGATGGTGGAAGCCCCTCATAATGGGCATGGCGGGTGTACAGAACCGGCAACTCCGCACAGGGATGGTGGGAACCCCTCATAATGGGAACAGCGGGTGTACAGACCCGGGAACTCCACACAGGGATGGTGGGAACCCCTCATAATGGGAACAGCGGGTGTACAGACCCGGGAACTCAGCACAGGGATGGTGGGAACCCCTCATATCGGGCACAGCGGGTGTACAGACCGGGAAGACATCTCCCCAGTAGAGTCCCTGAGGGTTACAAGGGACTGTTTGGAGGTTTAATCTTTAGCATCCACCAAAGCCTGAAATACAAATAATCGTCTTGCTTGGAGTCATTCGGTGTAAATCCAAGTTTGGTAATGAGGACAAACCATGTAACTGAGACATAAACAGTGTCAGCGCCGAGAATATCACAACTTACTATTTATTTATACACAATAATAAAAACACTTTAAGATTTGTTTAGTCGGTTACAGAGATGACTTCATGTCAGACGTGTATCAGACGTGTATCAGACGTGTATCTTCTCTGCATACGGTTTGTATCTCTGATATGACTGTACCTGTATATAGAGGCCATATAAAGCCGCCCTACACTCCTTTATACTTACCTCCCCTCTATGGATATCATCTCCCTTGTAGGGGCTTTCATCTTCACACGTCTTCCTTTGGGTTTGGGGTCTTTGGCCATCTTGGTTGGACTGTCTAGGACAATGCAACTTCAACCCATGCACTTGGGAGTTGGTTTGTCTTGGTGGCACCAAGGCACACCAGGATTGTATGCTGAGCTGCGGCCATACCGTGTACATTTCTGCCTTCCTACAGCCTTCCTTTATACGCTTTGGCTAATATATATATAAATTGGTGACAATGATTGGTCATCTGCTCACCGTAGGAGTTGCCATTGATGGAACACTTGTTGAAGGTCATGATGTTCTGGGTGAGAGTCCCGGTCTTGTCAGAGAAAATGTACTTGATTTGTCCCAGCTCCTCGTTGAGGGTGGTGGTTCGGGCCTCTGCCGGGGTGTCCTTCTTGGGGTAATACATCTTCCGGTCCCAGTTGATGTAGAAGCTGTTCCCCAGGCGAATGATCTCAACACTGTAGTGAAGAAGATAATGACATTCATTGAACATTTGGCCGTACGCTCAGTTGGGCCAACACGAGGACGATTTGCACATATCCTAAAGTCCATATAAAACTGGTATTTTTGATTTGGTAAGATGCCAGTTGGATACATCACTTACTATTTCTCAAAGGCCTTACACTTCTACGAACATGATTGAATCCAGACCAGTTGGCTTTATAATGGATGCGGCCAATATAAGACACAATTCTAAAGTCACACTCAGTAGGCAGTCACCTCCTGAGCTCCTTCAGCTTCAGAGTCCCACTTCAACCAGAACAATTCCAGCACTGGTCTTATCTTATGTAGAATGAGATGGGCACCACGGTATTCAAGATAATGGCATACGACCAAAACATTAGGAACCCTCAGAATGCTGCATTGTTAATGCCTTCTGGTCCCATCCAAGACCAGTGCTGGAAATGTTCTGGTTGAAGGGGGGCTTCAACCAGAACATTTCCAGCACTGGTCTTATCTTATGTAGAGTGAAATGGGCACCACAATATTCAAGATAATGGCATACAACCAAAACATTAAGAACCCTCAGAATGCTGCATTGTTAATGCCTTCTGGCCCCATCCAAACCCCCCTTCAACCATAACAATTCCAGCACTGGTCTTACCTTACGTAGAGTGAGATGGGCACCACGGTATTCAAGATAATGACATATGACCAAAACATTAGGAACCCTCAGAATGCTGCATTATGAATGCCTTCTGGCCCCATCCAAATCCCCCTTCAACCATAACAATTCCAGAACTGGTCTTATCTTATGTAGAGTGAGATGGGCACCACGGTATTCAAGATAATGACATATGACCAAAACTGGTTGAAGGGGGGCGTCAACCAGAACATTTCCAGCACTGGTCTTATCTTTTTAGAAATCAAAAAGAAAACACAACCAAGCCCATAGGATTGAATGGGCCACAATCGGCAAACAACCAGAACATTAGGCAACTCAGAATGCTGCATTATGAATGACTTCTGGCCCCATCCAACCCCCCTTTCAACCAAAACAATTCCAGCACTGGTCTTACCTTACGTACGTAGAGTGAGATGGGCACCACGGTATTCAAGATAATGACATATGACCAGAACATTAAGAACCCTGAGAATGCAGCATTGGTAGTGCCTTCTGGCCATGGGAGATACACCTGAAAGTAATAGCCTTGCTTGGATTCCCAAATCCCATTGCCGATAGCCAAGATGATGCACATGACAGCCAAGAAGACAAAGATCTGCCAAGAAACAAAAAAGGATCTTCATTTCTTGAGCCAGGACAGTCCTCCGCCAACAGGTAATCTTTTTGTGGATATCTGCATGGGCAGGTAAATGCTGAGAAACTCATTCTCCACCGTATATATATGTGGGGATACCTGCAAAACATGCATTTCTTGGGAAACACTGGGCTAGGCCAGTATTACGTAGAATTCAGTATAACCACTAATGGCAACTGTGGTCAATCAAACTGATCAGAATAATTGCTAGAGTCTTCCAGGTGTTGTCCGAACCTTTATTGGGACTGAAGAAGTAGCTTGGAGAAGCTATGAAATGTTTTTAACATTGCAGAAAAAGTCCAACTACTACCAGCTGGATCCTGTAGGCACACAAGTCTTGGAACCCTTGGAAGCACCCTCATCTGCCAGTATCAGCTCTTTTATACTAGGCGTTTCCTTGTTTTCCTGCCCAAGAATATTTTTATAATATGTAAAAAGGATGACTATATTCTTACTGATGAATGGAAAAAAATGGATGAAGGTGTCTGTGCTGCCTGTGTAGATATAAATGCTGGGTTGTCTTCCCAACACTCATTAGAACTGAGGATGTGGGTTGGAGAAGCTAGAAAACATCTTCAACATTACAAATATAACTAACTACTAGTAGCTACACTATGACCTGGATATATATGAGAACCTTCACAGACTTGAAAAATACCCCTTTGCTTCCTTAACTGCTCTTTATGAGTCTAGCAGTGTCTTGATGAAGGCAAAAGTCCCTATCTCCAAATGATTCTACACCTGTAACTAGAACAAGGTGGTTCTGCAACTTTCACACCTTTCACCTTGTTCTTGGACAATGAACATCTGCCTTGACACATTCCATGGTGATTGAATTAAGGTGTCTACTTCTACTTGTAATAAATGCTGGTCTGTCTTCCCGGCACTCAGTGGAATTGTGTCTTTGAGAAGCTACGAAAACTTCTCAAACATTTCAGAACAAGTCTAGTTGAATGTGACCAACTATTACCAGCAATACCAAGACCTGGATATACGAGAACCTTCACACACACATGTACAAGCAAAAAATATCTCTTTGGTTCCTCAACTGCTCTCTAAGAACCCAACCACGTGTGTTGGTGAAGGCAAAAGGTTTCTATTTCTAAATATTTTGTGTGTCCATGATACCTACCCATAAGACCAGAATATTCATGAGACCAGCCATGTCTTGATGAAGGCAAACGTTCCTATCTCCAAATGCTTCTACACCCATAACTAGAACAAGGTGCTTCTGCAACTTTCACACCTTTCGCCTTGTTCTTGGACAATCAACATCTGCCTTGACATATTCCATGGTGATTGAATTAAGGTGTCTATGTCTACTTGTAATATATGTTGGGCTGTCTTCCCGGCACTCACAGGAATTGTGGCTTTAAGAAGCTACAAAAACTTCTCAAACATTTCAGAACAAGTGACCAACTACTACTAGCTATCTACTACTAGCTATACCAAGACCTATATATACAAGAACCTTCACACACATGTACAAGCGAAAAATATCTAATTGGTTCCTCAGCTGCTCTCTAGGAACCCAACCATGTGTTGGTGAAGGCAAAAGGTTTCTATCTATATCTAAATATTTTGTGTGTCCATGATACCTACCCATAAGACCAGAATATTCATGAGACGGTCGATACTGGTTCTCTTTAGGGTGGTGCGGCCACTGTTTTGCATCAGCTTGGTGTCTGGTCCTGTGAAATGATAGAATGATGGTGAACTGAGTACTCATGGACTGGCTCCAGCTCTAATAGAGGACATGTAAGGATCCAAACATTTCTGACCTGCAAAGATGACCATGCCAAAGCACCAGTCTGTGTTCCTCATAGTACAACCACGTAGCAGGATCTTGCCATTGTCCAGAGCGTATTTCTCTCCCTGATAGGTCATTGTTCCAGTGAAAGTGTCTAATCGGTTGTTGGGAGCCTCGCACACTACTTCACCTACAGAGATGGAAGAGAAGTCCCACAGAATAATCTCACATTTTAAAGAGAAATCAAACATTTTTAATAAAGCTGAACTCCAGACAGACACAACTGAGTGCATTTTGAAATAATTAAATGAATTGTTCCATACACTAGAATAAGTACCTGATTCTGTCCTCATTTCTGGCAAAGCAGTCTTTGGGAAAGGGGAAGGGCAACACTAGGAGCTAATCAGACTGACGAGGAAACCCCTGACAGGTGGAGAGTGCTGCTGCTCCTTCATTGTCCAATCAGGAGGCTGGGGGGCAGGGAGCTGACACCACTGTCCAAAAGAGAAAGCGGTGTCACTCTCCCACCTGAGCTTTTGGGAGGAGTTATACAAATAACAAGCTGCCTTGATGAGGCGGATATCAGTCTGGAAGAGTGGGCGTTCCTAAGAAGACTAAATTTGCATGCAGACCACCCTAGGTAACGCCTACATTTGATATTGAGCCTCCATGATTGGTTCTTAGACTTTATATTGTTTATCTCATTTTAGTCAATGCATTTTTTTTTTTTGTAAACTTTATACCCACGTAAGTCTATTGCTTTATAAAGATCCTATTATTTATATAGAAACTTTGTATCAAAAATAAAAATTCAATAATACACTGTTCACCCCAAAGCACTATGAGTAACCTAAGAAAAAATGTGTCACAAACTGTTTGCCTTCACACCGTCTGCCTCTAACTGACATTTCATATGGAGCCAACTGGACATAGAAGGAGAATGGAAGGGGGGTTGTAACGGAACCGACCCAGTCTGCGCTTGGATACTTCCGTTAGAATACCGCTTCCCTGTCCGAATACACCGACAACAGACACCACAGCTGACCATACAAGACTAGTTTATTTGAAGACAGATACAAGAAATATACACTCAGGGGACAATCCCCCCTCCCTGCATAATGACACAGGGTGGGGCAATCTACATTTAGTAACAAGAGACACACAGGTATCCAAACTTCACAATCTATGGGGACAACATTGAGATGGTGATGCTGGTGCATAACTACAATTCATGGGACCCTATAGCAAAATTTTGATGTAATGAAGGAGGGAGGGCTGCTGGAGACAACCCCCCACCACTTAGCCAATACACATAAACACATGCATCCCATAATAGTTTGCTCCCAAGCAAGACACACAATAGAACAATGGGATGCAACTGCATAACACCAAACAATCCACAACCCCCACCCCACCTATCTCCTATACAGTACATGTCTACACAGTCTGAGACAAAGCCCACACAATATTGGGACAGATCACCCTGTACCCCTAACAGGCACAGGGGGATTTACACATAATAGGGATATGGGGGGCTGAGACAGGGGTTTCCCCACCTCTCCAAAGTGAGCTGGGTTCCATGGGCCCCCCACCCAAAGTGACTCCTGCCACAGGGGTGGAGTCACAGAAAACTCTGACCAGGGGCGGACTGACAACTCATGGAGTCCACGGGCAATAGGGCCCCTGTGTCCTTGCCCACACTCAAAGCACACCCAAAAAAGCCTACAAAAAAGGTACCAGGGGCCTTTCATGTGGCCCTCTACTGACTCCGGGCCCTTGGGCAGTACCCGAGTGCTCGAATGGTCAGTCCGCCCCTGGCTATGACTCATTCAAATGTGTGCATATGTTGCAGATTGAGATATTGAGCTCTGCAAAAACACCCCTTTTTTTTTTTTATTATAAAAGCTGGCCATGCAAGGATAGATTTTCTTTTTAACATTCCTAGAAAAATTGTTGGTCAAAACAATATTTTTTGCCATTATTAAGAAAATAGATTTTTTTTCGAAAGCCCATAAAATTTCACCCAGACGTGCTACTTGAATGGAATCCCAGACGTATTAAAATTTTCCTGACCAAAAAGCACATTCAAAGTTAGAATTTCTCATCCCTATGGTCAAAAACAAAGGTCGGCCCCACTGACCGCTAGAGAATTGAACTCAAATTTAGAAATTTTGCTGGTGTATGGCCATGTGATGCATTGTCTGTTGCTTTGTCCATTGAACCTCCATGCACTGATACTCATCTTGCTTGCACCCTCCCACCACTCCAGTACTCAGCCAAAGCCAAGACTCCATACCCGGAGTAAGTAGGATGGTGTTCAAGCTTTCACAGGGTTAACCTTTTCCTCCTCACGTGTCCAGATCTGGTGACCAAACACTGGACCCTGGGAGGGGGTCACCTGCTCCTTCATACCCAGAGGGACTGGCCATTTGCTGAGGGCTCTGATAGAGCAATGGAGTAGCCTGGTAGCACTTAATGGGCAAAGTGACCGGTTCTCTTTGAGGGTAGGCGGCTAAATTTGAAAAAAGGTTGAAAAGTTGTGCAATGTTCATTAGCAATATAAATGGCGTGTACCAAGCTTACCGTCAAACTGCGACAGCTGGTTCAGGTCTTCCCCCATATCCGCGGATATGGTCAGGGCCTGCTTCACCTTGAGGTTGGTTTCCCTGAAAGAAAAATGCATGAAGTGTGAAACTTCTCCCTGACCGTGAGAGACTGAGACCGTCAATCATGGACCACAATGTATGTGTTAGCAAAACGACATATCATAGCAACTACGTAGTGTATCCAGGTGGATTATACTGCATTTTATTCTGGACAAATTGGGCTTTCCATGGTAAATGGTAATGGATAGTTCCTGATTTTTTCTATTTTTATTATCAAAGGAAAACTAGCCCAAAATAGAAAAAAAAAACATTTTCTTTTTAAAAAATGTAGCTTTATGTTTCTTGCTACTACCATAACCTACCGCCAAAGAACAACCCAAAATGAATTCTCCTGCTCCCGATGATTGCAGCGATATCACATACAGTATGTGTATGTTAGTTGTACGTACCTGTAGGAGGCCCAGAAACAAATGTGACACCAACACTAACTGACACCGATAATAATAAATAAAAATCCTTTTTTTTTTCTTTAACCCCCTCCTGCCCACCATATAAGGAAACGACGGGCGCAAGGCGTTTCTCTCATTCTGGGAGGACTTCATATGACATCCTCCCGCTCCAACCGTGCGTACGTTCCCCCGGGGGCATGCAGCGCGGCGATCGGTGGTGTGCTCTGTCCCTCGGACGCAGAGAATCACTGATCAACGGAAAGAGCCGAAGACGTCGCCTCGGTCATGTGATCAGCTGTGTCCAATCACAGCTGATCGCATGTAAATAGTGAAATACCAGTTATTGGCATTTCTCTCCTCATGAGCTGTCACACTGACAGAGGAGAGGGAGAGCCGGTAATCAGCATTCCTCAGAGGGGACATGTACACTGATCATCAGGGCACTGATGATCAGTGTAGCCCCATCAGTGCCACCTGTCACTGTCCATCATTGCCACCTGTCAGTGCTCATCAGTGCCACATCAATGACACATATCAGTGCCCATCTGAGCTGCCTTTCAGTGCCACCTATCAGTGCCAGTCAGTGTTGCCTATCAGTGCTGCCAATCAGTGCCACCTATCAGTGCTGCCAATCAGTGCCGCCTATCAGTGCTGTCAATCAGTTCCGCCTATCAGTGCCAGTCAGTGCTACCTATCAGTGCCACCTATCAGTGCTGCCTAACAGTGCCAGCCAGTTCCACCTATCAGTGCCAGTCAATGCCACCTATCAGTGTCAGTCAGTGCCGCCTATCAGTGCTGCCAATCAGTGCCACCTATCAGTGCAAGTCAGTGCCGCCTATCAGTGCCAGTCAGTGCCGCCTATCAGTGCACATCAGTGCAGCCTATCAGTACCTGTCAGTGCCACCTATCAGTGCCGCCTTACAGTGCCAGTCAGTGCCATATATGAGTGCTGCCTTTCAGTGTCCATCAGTGATGCCTGTCAATGCCCATCAGTGCCTCCTCATCAGTGCCCATCAGTGCATCCTATCAGTGCCCATCACTGCAGCCTCATTAGCGCACATCAGTGAAGGAGAAAAATCACTTATTTACAAAATTTTATAACAGAAACTAAGAAAAACCGTTAGTTTTTTTTAAATTTTCAGTAGTTATTGGTTTGCCTGGCAAAAAATAAAAAAACCCAGAGGTGAATAAATACCACCAAAATAAAGGTCTATCTGTTTAAAAAAAATGATAAAAATTTCATATGGGTACAGTGTTGCATGACCGCGCAATTGTCATTCAAAGTGCAACAGCTCTGAAAGCTGAAAGTTGGCCTGGGCAGGAAGGGTATATAAGTGCCTGGGGGGCAGGTGGTTAAATACATTTTTATTGAATAGTTTTAAATTTTAAAAGATACAGAAGCAATCGTATATATACAATGAAGTAACCAGAAACGGTGACAGTCAATGGCGGTCATACATTGGAGAACATATGAAATAGAGACAAGTAATTTGCATGTCAAAAGAGAGAGAACAGAAAAATCAAACATATCAAGTCGATAAATCAGCGTAAGGGCAAAGAATCCTTTTTTTAAAAAAAAAAAAATATATATATATATATATACTGACCCTGACACTAACCGTGGCACTGACCTGGATCAAACCTTGATCTAGCTATTGTTTTTTAATTTCTTTCTATGCTTTTTTTTTAATTTTTTACAGACTTTTGTTTGTTGACATCTTTCTCCCCTGCAAGGAGAGAAAGATACAATGTATTACCTAATGTATCCTGTATGTATACAATGTATTACCTAATGTGTCCTGTATGTATACAATGTATTATACCTAATGTGTCCTGTATGTATACAATGTATTACCTAATGTATCCTGTATGTATACAATGTATTACCTAATGTATCCTGTATGTATACAATGTATTACCTAATGTGTCCCTGTATGTATACAATGTATTACCTAATGTATCCTGTATGTATACAATGTATTACCTAATGTATCCTGTATGTATACAATGTATTACCTAATGTGTCCTGTATATACAATGTATTATATAATGTATCCTGTATGTATACAATGTATTACCTAATGTGTCCTGTATGTATACAATGTATTACCTAATGTGTCCTGTATGTATACAATGTATTATAATGTGTCCCGTATGTATACAATGTATTACCTAATGTGTCCTGTATGTATACAATGTATTACCTAATGTGTCCTGTATGTATACAATGTATTATATAATGTGTCCCGTGAATGTATACAATGTATTGTATAATGTGTCCTGTATGTATACAATGTATTACCTAATGTGTCCTGTATGTATACAATGTATTATATAATGTGTCCTGAATGTATACAATGTATACCTAATGTGTCCTGTATGTATACAATGTATTATATAATGTGTCCCGTATGTATACAATGTATTATATAATGTGTCCTGTATGTATACAATGTATTACCTAATGTGTCCTGTATGTATACAATGTATTACCTAATGTGTCCTGAATGTATACAATGTATTACCTAATGTGTCCTGTATGTATACAATGTATTACCTAATGTGTCCTGTATGTATACAATGTATTACCTAATGTGTCCTGTATGTATACAATGTATTACCTAATGTGTCCTGTATGTATACAATGTATTACCTAATGTGTCCTGTATGTATACAATGTATTACCTAATGTGTCCTGTATGTATACAATGTATTACCTAATGTGTCCTGTATGTATACAATGTATTACCTAATGTGTCCTGTATGTATACAATGTATACAATGTGTATTATACCTAATGTGTCCTGTATGTATACAATGTATTACCTAATGTGTCCTGTATGTATACAATGTATTATATAATGTGTATTCCTAATGTGTATGTATACAATGTATTACCTAATGTGTCCTGTATGTATACAATGTATTACCTAATGTGTCCTGTATGTATACAATGTATTACCTAATGTGTCCTGTATGTATACAATGTATTACCTAATGTGTCCTGTATGTATACAATGTATTACCTAATGTGTCCTGTATGTATACAATGTATTATATAATGTGTCCTGTATGTATACAATGTATTACCTAATGTGTCCTGTATGTATACAATGTATGATATAATGTGTCCTGTATGTATACAATGTTATTATATAATGTGTCCTGTATGTATACAATGTATTACCTAATGTGTCCTGTATGTATACAATGTATTATACCTAATGTGTCCTGTATGTATACAATGTATTACCTAATGTGTCCTGTATGTATACAATGTATTATATAATGTGTCCTGTATGTATACAATGTATTACCTAATGTGTCCTGTATTATACAATGTATTACCTAATGTGTCCTGTATGTATACAATGTATTACCTAATGTGTCCTGTATGTATACAATGTATTATATAATGTGTCCTGTATGTATACAATGTATTACCTAATGTGTCCTGTATGTATACAATGTATGATATAATGTGTTGTATGTATACAATGTATACATAATGTGTCCTGAATGTATACAATGTATTACCTAATGTGTCCTGTATGTATACAATGTATTATATAATAATGTGTCCTGTATGTATACAATGTATTATATAATGTCCTGTCCTGTATGTTACAATGTATTACCTAATGTGTCCTGAATGTATACAATGTATTACCTAATGTGTCCTGAATGTATACAATGTATTATACCTAATGTGTCCTGTATGTATACAATGTATTACCTAATGTGTCCTGTATGTATACAATGTATTGATATAATGTGTCCTGAATGTATACAATGTATTACCTAATGTGTCCTGTATGTATACAATGTATTATATAATGTGTCCTGTATGTATACAATGTATGATATAATGTGTCCTGAATGTATACAATGTATTACCTAATGTGTCCTGTATGTATACAATGTATTATATAATGTGTCCTGTATGTATACAATGTATTATATAATGTGTCCTGTATGTATACAATGTATTACCTAATGTGTCCTGTATGTATACAATGTATTATATAATGTGTCCTGTATGTATACAATGTATTACCTAATGTGTCCTGTATGTATACAATGTATTACCTAATGTGTCCTGTATGTATACAATGTATTACCTAATGTGTCCTGTATGTATACAATGTATTACCTAATGTGTCCTGTATGTATACAATGTATTACCTAATGTGTCCTGTATGTATACAATGTATTACCTAATGTGTCCCGTATGTATACAATGTATTACCTAATGTGTCCCTGTGTATGTGTATTACCTAATGTATCCTGTATGTATACAATGTATCACCTAATGTGTCCCGTATGTATACAATGTATTACCTAATGTGTCCTGTATGTATACAATGTATCTTTCTCTCCGGAAGACACAGGGGTGGGCTGCACAGTGACTGACTGATTGGCTATCACAGTGACCAGCGGCCTGGGAAGTGGTAGTCCCGGGTCCCGATCATTCCTAACACAAACACAGGTATGTGGATATGCAGCCTCATGGGTAAAGACTCGCTCTCCATGGGAAGGGGTTATTAAAGGACTTGTTAAAAATTTGTGTCTTTTTTTTTACTATTTACAATTTTTTCCAGATTTGTTCTCAGACCCCCATAACTACTGGGCAAGGGTTGTGGGGAAGAGGCATGGTGACGGGGAACATTGCCAGGGTTGTGCCCCTTGGCAAGGTGTTCTCCCAGTGTTGAAGGTAAAATTTAGGAGGGATGGAAGTCACATACCCCCCCCCCTTTTTTTTTCTCTCCAGCCGACTACCCAGTACACTGCATGCTCAGTTATGGGTCTGGAATGCATTTTTTTTTTTTGGGGGGGACCCTTAAAGTGTTACTAAACCAACAACAGTAAAATCTGTATATGCATTAAGCATGCTTGTTATACTCACTGTGGTACCTAAGGCTGTTTGATCCTGCCCTTTCTGATCCTCCCCTTCTTTCACTGTCCCCAATCCATCTGCTGATAATACAGAAGCCTAGGAGACGCTCTGCACATTCTCAGTTTGGTGTGTATTGCTAGAGAGGTTTTTTTTTTTCCGTTTTTTTTGGGGGGGGGGGGGAGTGCATGTGATCAGCACAGGGTCAAACAACACTGTCCAGACACAGATAGAGGGTCAGAGGTCATGCTGCCTCCTAGGACAGTTGGAGGAGAATGAAAACTCCTCCAAGACTAACTCAGCCGGACGCTGATAGAAGTCACGAGACTGCTACATACTGCTGATGAGAAAAGATAATTAGGAGTTTATATTTATGGAAATAATTGCATTTCCATGTAGTGTGTACTGTGGGAGACCAGATATAGTGAATGCAGGGGTCGGGGGAGACCAGATATAGTGACTGCAGGGTCAGGGCAGAGCGGATATAGTGAATGCGGGGTCCGGGGGGAGAGCGGATATAGTGAATGCGGGGTCCGGGGGAGAGCGGATATAGTGAATGCGGGGTCCGGGGAGAGCGGATATAGTGAATGCGGGGTCCGGGGAGAGCGGATATAGTGAATGCGGGATCCGGGGAGAGCGGATATAGTGAATGCGGGGTCCGGGGAGAGCGGATATAGTGAATGCGGGGTCCGGGGAGAGCGGATATAGTGACTGCGGGGTCCGGGCAGAGCGGATATAGTGAATGCGGGGTCCGGGGAGAGCGGATATAGTGAATGTGGGGTCCGGGGAGAGCGGATATAGTGAATGCGGGGTCCGGGGAGCGGATATAGTGAATGCAGGGTCCGGGGAGAGAGCGGATATAGTGAATGCGGGGTCCGGGGGAGATCAGATATAGTAAATGCAGGGTCCGGGGAGAGCGGATATAGTGAATGCGGGGTCCGGGGAGACCGGATATAGTGAATGCAGGGTCCGAGGAGACCAGATACAGTGAATGCAGGGTCCGGGGAGAGCGGATATAGTGAATGCGGGGTCCGGGGGGAGAGCGGATATAGTGAATGCGGGGTCCGGGGAGAGGGATATAGTGAATGCGGGGTCCGGGGAGAGCGGATATAGTGACTGCAGGGTCCGGGGAGAGTGGATAAAGTGAATGCGGGGTCCGGGGAGCGGATATAGTGAATGCGGGGGTCCGGGGAGAGCGGATATAGTGAATGCAGGGTCCGGGGAGAGTAGATATAGTAAATGCAGGGTCCGGGGAGAGCGGATATAGTGAATGCGGGGTCCGGAGAGAGCGGATATAGTGAATGCGGGGTCCGGGGAGAGCGGATATAGTGAATGCGGGGTCCGGGGAGAGAGGATATAGTGAATGCGGGGTCCGGGGAGAGAGAGGATATAGTGAAAGCGGGGTCCGGGGAGAGAGGATATAGTGAATGCGGGGTCCGGGGAGAGAGGATATAGGGAAAGCAGGGTCCGGGGAGAGCGGATATAGTGAATGCGGGGTCCGGGGAGAGCGGATATAGTGAATGCGGGGTCCGTGGAGACTAGATATAGTGAATGCGGGGTCCAGGGAGAGCGCTGGGATATAGTGAATGCGGGGTCCAGGGAGAGCAGATATAGGGAATGCGGGGTCCGGGGAGAGCAGATATAGGGAATGCGGGGTCCGGGGAGAGCGGATATAGTGAATGCAGGGTCCGGGGAGAGCGGATATAGTGAATGCAGGGTCGGGGAGAGCGGATATAGTGAATGCGGGGTCAGGGGAGAGCGGATATAGTGAATGCAGGGTCCGGGGAGAAGAAACTAATATAGTGAATGCGGGGTCCGGGAAGAGCGGATATAGCGAATGCGGGGTGCGGGGAGAGTGACTATAGTGAATGCGGGGTCCGGGGAGACCGGATATAGTGAATGCAGGGTCCGGGGAGAGCGAATATAGTGAATGCGGGGTCCGGGGAATGCAGATATGGTGAATGCAGGGTCCGGAGAGAGGGGATATAGTGAATGCAGGATCCGGGGAGAGCAGATATAGTGAATGCAGGGTCCGGGGAGACCAGGTATAGGGAATGCGGGGTCCGGGGAGACCAGATAAAGGGAATGCGGGGTCCGTCCGGGGAGAGCGGATATAGTGAATGCAGGGTCCGGGGAGAGCGGATATAGTGAATGCAGGGTCCTGGGAGAGCGAATATAGTGAATGCGGGGTCCGGGGAGACCGGATATAGTGAATGCGGGGTCTGGGGAGAGCAGATGTAGTGAATGCAGGGTCCGAGGAATGCAGATATAGTGAATGCGGGGTCCAGGGAGAGTGGATATAGTGAATGCAGGGTCCGGGGAATGCAGATATAGTGAATGCTGGGTCCAGGGTTTAGTAACACTGAGATAATATATTCTATTACATTCTATTATACAGACATGGCACTGTCCCCATCAGCTGAAGTGTTCCAATAATGGTGTTGCACTGAGATATACTGTATATATGACATAATACACAGGGAGTAGAATCCCCTTTTTCAGATGGATGAGGTTGGAGGGGGCTCAGCACTTACCCATCAAGCTCGGCGGTCTCAATGTACACCAGACTGTTGGGTTCGCTGCTGGACAGTAACAGCAGATCTGCCTGAAAACAAGAGAGCATTGAGATCCTGTACAGGACGCTGGCATGAAAATCATCTTTCATAAAACAAATTCCTCTAAGCCCCCTGCCACGTGATATTCCGATTATATTAAAAGAAGACATGAAAGAACGATATTCTAAAAGGGTAAACGTTCCAATGTAGAATGAATGGGGTGTTATATCCTGAATTGATGAAAGTATTCTTTGATCGTTTTAGTAGCATGTGATTACCAACTATTAGTATTAGGACGTTCATGTCATGTGATATGCAGTTATTGTTTTAGATAGCTTGGAGTTTCAGGGGTGATGAGCTTGCTTGTCACTCTGCTCTCTCCTCCTATCAGCATGTTCTAGAATATTCTTCCATGAAAACCAAAATTATTGTTCTCCCAAACAAAATGACCAGTTTAGGGACATTCTCAGTAAAGTCGGTTAGTCCAGTACATGTCCCAGAGGTCGAGGAACAGCTGCATCCGTTTTTTTATACAAGTGTTTCGTTTGAAGATGGGTCCTTTTTAATGTCATTCTTTGGCAGAGTACAAACAGCTTACCGTCACAAAGTTGTTGTTTTCTAATTTGATAATGTCGCCCACCTGGACATTCATCCATTTCTCGCTGTTGAACCTGTTGGAGGAACACAAACCCGGGACGTGACATAGGAAGGTGCTCTAGGTACGTCTGATGAAGGACAATGGGGACTGGTACAAGGACTATGCAGGTGGAGACTCTTATAGGGGTGTCCCACCTGTCGGAGATGACACCAGCTGAGCCATGTGGTTCCTATCTGAAAAGGTGATGTGAATCTACAAAGTGCATATTTTGTGCTCGGGCCCATTTGGTGCATTGCATTACGCACTCTAGAACATTACGGTGCAATTCACTGTCAATGGCTCCCCAATGCAGCTCCAATGCACAATGGCACCACAAGCATGATGATGCACATAGGAAAAGATGGTGCATGTCCCATTTTTTTGTCCATTCTGGTCCATTGAATGATCTGCCTCAACACAATTCACGGTAATGTGCTTGCATTTGCTCAATGCACCAGAACAGACAGGTGTGAATGGGCTGTTAATGATCCAGCAGAACATCTACTTCCCAAGCCACTGCAAGGAATGGGAAATCTTACCAGCCAGGCTGGGCACAGTCCCACACCATTCAGGGCACTTGGAGGACCCCTCCTCTAGCTTATAATCTACACCAGCGGTTCTCAATCTTTTTTGCACCAGGTCCTGGTAAATTCTTCCAAAACCTCCCATGGCCAAACAGCAATGATTAAAATTTATACTCAGACAATAAAAGTATAGGAAAGCAAAACATGTACTGAAATGCTGGAAGGCTCTGGAAGGGGCTGGGTGTCACTGTGGAGGGACTTTAGCTTCTTGAGTGGGTTTGGGGGAGATAGCAACAGACTTGTTGGCACTTTAAGGGGTGCAATTTCGGGAGGAAACTTGGGAGCACTGTGATAGGCCAGAGGACACTGTGGGGTACTAAGAAGGGCTGGAGACTTTGCAGAAGCCTGTAGGGAACTGTTAGATACTGTTGGATGTTGGGGGCACTATGATGGGCTGAAGGCTCTGCAGCAGGCTGGGGGCATGGTGGGAGGTTGGGAGCCATTGTGGGTCATTGTTGGAGGTTTGGGGCACTATGAAGGGCTGGAGGCTTTGCAGCAGGCTGGGGGCATGGTGGGAGGTTGGGAGCCATTGTGGGTCACTGTTGGAGGTTTGGGGCACTATGATGGGCTGGAGGCTTTGCAGCAGACTGGGGGCATGGTGGGAGGTTTGGAGCCATTGTGGGTCACTGTTGGAGGTTTGGGGCACTATGATGAGCTGGAGGCTTTGCAGAAGGCTGGAGCATGGTGGGAGGTTGGGAGTCATTGTGGGTCACTGTTGGAGGTTTGGGGCACTATGATGGGCTGGAGGCTTTGCAGCAGGCTGGGGGCATGGTGGGAGGTTGGGAGCCATTGTGGGGTCACTGTTGGAGGTTTGGGGCACTATGATGGGCTGGAGGCTTTGCAGCAAGCTGGGGGCATGGTGGGAGGTTTGGAGCCATTGTGGGTCACTGTTGGAGGTTTGGGGCACTATGATGGGCTGGAGGCTTTGCAGCAGGCTGGGGGCATTGTGGGAGGTTGGGAGCCATTGTGGGGCACTGTTGGAGGTTTGGGGCACTATGATGGGCTGGAAGCTTTGCTGCAGCAGGCTGGTGGCATGGTGGGAGGTTGGGAGCCATTGTGGGGCACTGTTGGAGGTTGGGGGGCCCTATGATGGGCTGGAGCCCCTGAATCAGGCTGGGGTCATGGGGGGGGAGCTGGTCAGAACTGCTGAAGCTGAGAGCTCTCGAGGGGGAAAAGGGTCTTCACGGGAGGTTGGGGGACGCTAGGGGAGCTGAGAAGCACTGTGGGAGGTTAAGGGATCTGCATCAAGCTGAAGGCTCAGTACAGGGGAGGCCATGACCCAGAAGTGGGCTGAAGCCCTGTGGTTGGTATCCACTGCTCTGCACCGGCCAATCTCAACTTTTTCACCCCACAATGACAAGACACAATGACAACTCAACAGAAGAAACAATGACAGCTCAGAGCCCTCAGGTCTCAAGAGATAGCATATTATAAGATATTTGGCAAAGAAGGTTTGCCCAATGTAATGTAGATTGGTCAACCTACAATCACTTACCCCCGCCTTTGCTGAGCACCTGAACTATGCGATTGTTGACCTGATTGTCACTTTTGTGCCGATACTACAAGAAAAGAAGTACAAAATGCTGAGATTCATAATAAGACAAGTTCCATGTGATATAAAAATGAGTTAAATCATTGAAAATTTGGCCCTGACAATAGCGCAAAATCTTTAAATAGTAAGGTACTGTTATTGTATATATAATAAGGGGCTCTAAAAAGAATTAAAATATAACAAAAACTTTAAGGGACCATTTACAATTCTGTGTGGCAATAATTTTAAGGAGAGAATTTCCCTTCACTTCCTGACTTGCATACACAAAAGGAAGTCAGAAAGAAATCTCCAAAAAGTGAGGGATTCCCACTGGAAGTCCCCATTGAGATGCCTCAGTGTCCACTGTGGTCACCGTCTCATAGGAGAGATTTCCTTCAATTCCAGATCTACATACAAAATAGAAAGTTGGGGGAAATCTAAAAAAACTGAGAAGATCCGTCAAAATTCATGTTCCCATTGAGAGAGATCTTCTCCCCTATAACAACCAATTTGTTCCAATGGGAGAGATTTCCCTTCATTTCCTAACATGGATACACAATAGAGGTCAGGGGAAATCTCCAAAAAGTGAGAGGATCCCACTGGAAGTCCCCATTGAGATGCCACAGTGTCCACTGTGGTCACCATCTCATAGGAGAGATTTTCCTTCAATTCCTGATCTACATACAAAATATAAAATGAGGGGAAATCTAAAAAAACTGAGACGATCCACCAGAACTCATGTTCCCATTGAGAGATTCTCTCCCCTATAACAAAAAATGTGTTCCCATGGGAGAGATTTCCCTTCCTTTCCTAACATGGATACATAAGAGAGGTCAGATGAAATCTCCAAAAAGTGAGAAGATCCACCAGAAGTCATGTCTCCATTCAGAGGGACCACCGTTGTGAACTAGGACAATGAGGACACTTGTGGAATCAGGAAGCAAAGGGGAATCTTTACTTTGAGGACACAGTGGTACACCCTACACTGTGTCCTTAGTAGTGATTTCCCTTTGCTTCCTGATTTAGTTACGAAACGAGAAGTTAAGGGGAAATCTCAAAAAAAGTGAGGGCGATCCCACCAGAAGTAGTGTCCCCATTAAGAGATCCCCCACTGTTTCCCCAAAGGAGAGTTTTATCTTCACGGCCTGACCTAGTTACAAAACAGGGAGTTGGGGAAATCTCCAAATGTTGAGGTAGATCCCACCAGAAGTCAGGTCCTCATTGAGAAATTCTCCCCCCACCCACCCCATTGTGGCCTCATAGGAAAGATTTCCCCTACCACTTCTGACTTTAATACACAACAGGAGGTCAGAGCGAAATCTCCAAAAAGTGAAGGAGGCTCCACCTGAAGCCATGTCCCCATTGAGAGATTCCTAACTACCACACTCACTCCTTTTCCAATGATGCAGTAAAATGTGGGATTTCCCATAACTTTTTATCCCAATTACAATAGTCATCAAAAAGGGAGGACTAATAAAAACCTTACAGGGGCCATAACCCTTCCACATTTCATCCAAAACTAGGATAATCATAGATCTAGCTAGAGTTATACCTTAAAGCTGTAAGTAAGAGCCAGGGGCGGACTGACAACTCATGGGGCCCCCCGGGCAATAGGGGATCATGGGGCCCCTGTGTCCTTGCCCAAACTCAAAAAAGCCTATGAAAAAGGTACTAGGGGCATCTCATGGGGCCCACTACTGTCCCTGGGCCCTCGGGCAGTGCCGGAGTTTCCAAATGGTCAGTCCGCCCCAGGTAAGAGCTATACATTAACCGTTATAGAGGGGAAGCCTCTTACATAGTCATCCATGGCATCTTTCACAGCAGATACGGTTAGCACCAACACCAGAGGGACCACCGTAGTGAACCAGGACAAGGAGGACACTTGTGGAATGAGCTGAAAAGAAAGGAACATAGGTTAGTGTAGAGATCTGAGACACCACGATGACTCTGGCAATACCCAGTCAGCTGGTAGATGGTGACTACAGGCCATTGGAACATAACAGGGAACTATGTGGTGAGGTTTGTGCATTTTATTGTCTTTATTTAACGTGAGGCTCAAAAAAAAAAAAAAAAAAAATTTTTAATATTTTTATTTCCAGTCGATAAATTTGAAATATTGCATGTTCATATTTTGTAGTCTCCATTTATGCCAGCAGATGCAGCTTTAGTCTCCTTTTTATATTTTTTTCCTACCTTTTATGTTAATAGAGCTCAGTAGCACAAGAAAGAACACAGAACAATGACTTGTGCCTTATAGAAGCGGTCTCCAAACTGAGGCCCTTTGCATACCCTCATCCATCCCTTGGGGCACTATTCCTCTTACTTATATGAGGCACCATTCCTCCCACTGACACCAACAATGGGTTTAATATTTTCCTCCACTGACATCAACAGAGGGGTACTATTCCTCCCACTGACACCAACAATGGGTTAATATTTCCTCCACTGACATCAACAGAGGGGTACTATTCCTCCCACTGACACCAACAATGGGTTAATATTTCCTCCACTGACATCAACAGTGGGGTACTATTCCTCCCACTGACATAAAAAATGGGACAATAATTCCTCCACTGATATCAACAGTGGGATACTATCCCTCCCACTGACACCAACAATGGGGCAATAATTCCTCCACTGACATCAACAGTGGGATACTATCCCTCCCACTGACATCAACAATGGGGCAATAATTCCTCCACTGACATCAACAGTGGGGTACTATTCCTCCCACTGACACCAATGATGAGGCACTATTCTTCCCACTGATATCAACGTTGGGGCACTATTCCTCCCACTGACACCAACATTGGGGGAATAGTTCCTCTACTGACATCAACAGTGGGGTACGATTCCTCCCACTGACATAAAAAATGGGACAATAATTTCTCCACTGACATTAACAGTGGGG